GGGACCTCAGTGATGGGGACCTTCAGTGACAGGGACCTCAGTGATGGGGACCCTAGGTGATGAGGACCCTCAGTGATGGGGACCTTCAGTGACAGGGACCTCAGTGATGGGGACCTTCAGTGACAGGGACCTCAGTGATGGGGACCCTTGGTGATGGGGACCCTCAGTGACCGGGACCTTCAGTGACAGGGACCTCAGTGATGGGGACCCTCAGTGAACTGGGGGCACCAGAGTGGCAAGGATCCCTGGGGTGAGTAGATCCCTGGGGAGAGCAGGTCTCTGGAGAAAGTGGGGTCCCTGGAGATAACGGGGTCCCTGAGGTGCCTGGGGTAAGCAGGTCCCCAGGGCGCGCGCACACACACATACACATAAACACACACACGCGCGCACGCACCCACACTGCGTTTCCTGCCCCCTCTGGGAGGTGCCCAGCTCCTAAGCAGCATGGCAGCCCAGGTTCCAGCAGCCTCTCCCAGCCCCCACCCTAATAAATGCTCCTGTCCTTTTTCACTCCCTGTTTCTGGAAGATTCTGTACCAAGATAGAGGGCTTGGCCAGAGTCTGCCAACACGTGGGCAACAAACAGGCCCCCTTCGTGGTGCACGTGTAAGACACAGCACCCAACCTCAGGGTCTAGCAGGGCCCTGAGGCTGCAGCTCTCCAGGGTCAGGGATGTCGTGCCGTGACACCGCTCAGGGCCACACTCATTATCAGTCACACATTCATGCATTCACTCATCTGTCCCCAAGGCATAACGCATGGAGGGGCAGTGGCCACTTGTGGGGCCCGCCTGGGCTCACACCCAGCTCTGATGGTCTGCTACTTGCCCACCCGGCGCTCTTCACCTGTACGGCGGGGGCTGGACCCCCCGAGCTGCAGGAGCACAGACGGCTGACCCCGAGGGAGCCCTCAGGTCAGGGGGTCCGGCCCCTCTGAGGGAGTCTGCCCCAGTGCACCCCTTCAGAGCACTGCTCTTCTGCAGTCTCCCAGCACTGTGCCCCCCCCGATAATCAAGCTGACTTCTTTGGGTGTGCCCGACCACCTGAGGACGGCCGTTTTCCTCTTTTTCCAGCCCAGGACGGGAGGACAGTGTCAGCCTCTAGCAACTCCCCAGCCACTCCTGTAACGACCAAGCAGAGTCCCGGCCACTGTGTCAGTCAGGGCCCCAGCACCAGGCCCCCAGCCTGCCAAGGTCCTAGGCTGCGAGCTTCGGTGATCTGGGGTCTGATACGAGGGCCTGGTTTCAAGTCAGGTGACCCAGGATCTGACCTGTGTGATCCTGGCTGGACCTTTCACATGCTGACCCTCAGGTCCCTCAAGAAACATCAGGGAGGGGTCCCTGGGCTGGGGCCCAGCGTGCCAGCATGGCCCGGCTCCTAATCCTGCCACCCAAGGTCATTGCTCACTGTGCCTCTTTGGTGCTCAAAACTGCCCTGACAGACAAGCAAATGCAAGGCCAGTCACCATGGGTCGTGCCCTGGTGGGTGTCTGCTCGCGTCCTGCAGGTGGTTGGTGCCCAGGGTTGCTCCCTTGACTGCAGAAAAGATGACTTCTATTCGAGAGGAGAGCCAGGGGGCTGGCAGGGCGTGCACAGGACCTCGGGTGGATCCAGGAGGCAGATCAGGGGGTCTAACCCCCAGACCTGTGTCTATGTCCCTCCAAAGGAGGCCCGTGCAGCTGCCATGCAAACAGGGGAAGGGACCCCTCCATCAGGGCGCCCGGAGTTCTCTGCAGACCACCACTGCTCTCACCCTCACACCTCTCTGTGGGGAGGGTGTGTGGTCTTCCTAGGTCCCTGGGAGGACGCTCCCCCCACGTGGTGCACATCAGTAGCATCCCCAGCTCTGGGCCCACGGCCTGCATACAGTGACAGTGGCTGGCCCCAGCTGCCTCCCCTAACTAAGTGAACTCCCTCAGTGACATGCAAGGATGGGCAGAAACAGAAACGTCTCTAAGATTTCCTGGAAACACTGGCTGGGCCTGAACCGTTGTCAGCAGTGGCATTGAGCCTGGCATCGTAGCCGTGGCCCTTCCACGTCGCCTGCTCTACGAGGACAGGACATGGTGCCCAGGCAGGAGGGAGCAGGATGTGGGGGCTCCAGAAGCCCTGCGGGGGGGATGTGCCAGCCCTCTGCACGTAGAGGCCTGAGTATCCACCACGCGGCCCAGGGGTCGGGATGGAAGCAGGGGTTGGCCCCCAGCTAGGAAAGTGCTTCTGGCAATGGGTACACCTCTTCCCCAGGCACGGTGGGGGCGTCTGCCCTTGCTGCCCCGGCGTTCTGACCAGGAGAGGAGCCGTGGACCGGGGCGTGAGGGCATTGGGATGGAGGCAGGGGCCATCAGCAGGGTGGTTCTGAGCTAGCAGCGTTCACCCGGGCAGAGACCAGGCTGGCAGGACTGGGCAGTGACAGCAGGGCGGATGCAGGGCAGCGTCCTGGAGGGGCGGGGCCCAACTGCAGAAAGCCTTGGGCACCGGCAGCACCAGGGTGTGCCGGGAGCAGGGGTCCACAACACCCCAGCGCCAGTCACTGACACACTGAACCCTCCCCAGGGAGGGTGCAGAAGCCCCTGTCCATGGCCAGTGCCCAGCAGCTGCTCAGCGCATGCTGGCTCCTAGGGACGGACCCCTGGGAAAGCCCCCTTCATTATACAGAGCACCCTACTGCCCACTGTGCTCTGCGGGACACCAGCCTGGGTGTCCGGGACACAGAAAGGGCTGACCTGGCAGGACAGCCCAACCACACCTGATTCCTTCTGCTTGATGTTCTTCACACGGTCAGTCATGCTGGGACACAGCTTGAAAACCAGGCTGCCCAGCTGTGGTGGGCTGCAGTGTGGATGACAGGAGGCAGAGGGTCTGCAGCGGGTCAGTTAGAAGGACTGACGCTACATACAGAAGGGGCCCAGGCTCAGTCCTGCAACCGTCTATGGAGCCCACACAGATAGTCAACTGGTCTCTGATCAGGAAGGAGCAAAGGCCATTCAACGGAGGAAGAGTGGTCTTGGTAACAAATGGTGGTGGTGCAACTGGGCATCCACGTGCAAAGGAAACAACTCCAGACACAGTGCTTCCATGGTCCACAGAAACAAACTCAGAGACCACACACCCAAATCCAGAGCAGTGCACGACAGAGCCGCGGGGCAAAAACAGGACGGCCAGTGGCCTTGGGAGTGGCAAGGAGGTTTTTTTAATATTCAATATGAAAAGCATGATCCATGAAAGAAAAACAAAATCGATAAATTAGACGGAATGAACATGCAAAGTGTCTGCCCTGTGACAAGCACTGTTGAGAAAGTTAAAACACAAGCCACAACATGGGAAAAAGTACAATCAAACCATGTATCTAATTGAAGGGCTTATACCCAAAATATACAAAGAACCCTCAACAGTCAACAAAAAAACAAACAACCCAATTAAAAACATTAAGAAATGGGCAAAGGATCTGAAAGAACTTCACAGAAGACACACAGATGACAAATCAGCAAATGACAAGATGCTCACGGTCAGGTGTCATCAATGAGATACCAGCACACATCGATTAAAACCAAATAAATCAAACCACTGCTGTGGAGTTGATTCGGACTCACAGAGCCCCTACAGGACAGAGTGGAAACTGCCCACAGGGTCTCCAAGGCTATCAGTCTTTACGGAACCAAAGCCCAAACCACACCCACTGCCGTTGAGTCTATTCCGACCCACAGC